TAATAGGGTTTAGTAATGACAATGCAAATGTAATGGTTGGAAAGAAAAGTTCCGTCCTTTCCAGAGTTCGTGAACTTATAAGAAAACTTGTTACGCTAATCTCTCTGATTTGGACCAAATCTCCCTGATTTGTTTCCAGAAAACTTGGCATGTATGTATATTAGATGTGGGAATGTATATACATTTATTGTTGTGTTGCTTGTCCTTATACGTCAAACTCTAAGGGATTTCCTTACGGATAAATTTCCATTGGGCCTACACATTACGTTATTTAAGGCAGAAGATGAGGAGGCGGGAGTGGCCTAGAGGTTTAAAGCGCTTTCCGTTACGAATCACTGCCATCTCACCTCTGTCTGCGTGGGTTCCAATCTAAGATTCGGCGAATGTGGATATGTGAGAAAGCTTGTCAGTAGCTTCTCGTGGGTCGGTGGTTCTTTCCTCGGATTTCCAGTTTTCATCCTCCACCATTAATACTGGCCGCCATGTATAGCCTATCATGTGCTGAATAAAATGGTGTTAAGCCCATACTGGCCGCCATGTATAGCCTATCATGTGCTGAAAAATGGTGTTAAGCCCAACAACAACAACAACAACAACAACAGCAGAAGATGAGCTGCAACTTCAATATCTTCTAGGTAAAATGTTACCAGCGGGTGTAGTCAAGAAAGAAAACTCACGTTATTCGCCATTTTATGCAGTATACTTTGATATACAGTGTGCATCTTTTTTTTTCTGCAAATAATATAATGAAACTTGCAGCTGAATAACACTTATATGATTGATATACTGAATTTGTATTCTATTTTTTAATTATTTTTAAACGTTTGTTTTGTATTCATTTCTTTATTTTTGTACATATTTATTGTTTGTATTCAAATGATTTATTGTTATGTCAGGTAATATTGTACGGAAGAGAATAAAGATGATGATTCATTCGGAATATTTGAATGATTATTTTTGTCGGATATGGTTCATTTAAAATGTCACTTATTACATGTGACTGGTGTTCCTTGATTTGACTGCACATTTATTGTCAACTACTGTAATTGTCTCCAATTTATTGCAAATTATACTGGCTATAATATATAAACCTTAGATGAAGAGCTTGGTGCATGGTAGTCGTCTGTATGTATGTATGTATGTATGTATGTATGTATGTATGTATGTATGTATGTATGTATGTATGTATGTATGTATGTATGTATGTATGTATGTATGTATGTATGTATGTATGTGTGTGTATGTGTATGTACGTGTGTATGTATGTATGTATGTATGTATGTATGTATGTATGTATGTATGTATGTATGTATGTATGTATGTATGTATGTATGTATGTATGTATGTATGTATGTATGTATGTATGTATGTATGTATGTATGTACGTGTGTGTATGTGTGTGTGTATGTATGTATGTATGTATGTATGTATGTATGTATGTATGTATGTATGTATGTATGTATGTATGTATGTATGTATGTATGTATGTGTGTGTGTGTGTGTATGTATGTATGTATGTATGTATGTATGTATGTATGATGTATGTATGTATGTATGTATGTATGTATGTATGTATGTATGTATGTATGTATGTATGTATGTATGTATGTATGTATGTATGTATGTATGTATGTATGTATGTATGTATGTATGTATGTGTGTGTATGTGTATGTATGTATGTATGTATGTATGTATGTATGTATGTATGTATGTATGTATGTATGTATGTATGTATGTATGTATGTATGTGTGTATGTGCGTGTATGTATGTATGTATGTATGTATGTATGTATGTATGTATGTATGTATGTATGTATGTATGTATGTATGTATGTATGTATGTATGTATGTATGTATGTATGTATGTATGTATGTATGTATGTATGTATGTGTGTGTGTATGTGTGTGTATGTATGTATGTATGTATGTATGTATGTATGTATGTATGTATGTATGTATGTATGTATGTATGTATGTATGTATGTATGTATGTATGTATGTATGTATGTATGTATGTATGTATGTATGTATGTATGTATGTATGTATGTATGTATGTATGTATGTATGTATGTACCTACGCACCAACATGTACATACGATAGACTCGGTGAAAATCAGATAGGTCATCTTTGGTCATAATCCGGTATCTGAATAGAGAATTTCTCTATATTGAAGGTTTTATTGTGTAAAAGAATGTCCCTGTTCAGTATTGATCCTACTTACCCAAGAATTTATATTATCCAGAACTATTTTGGGCTAGATAAACTTGATTGAAGCTCCTTTAGGTTTTAAAATTGAATGGACCCGCACCTACTCTTACCTGAAGTTATACACCTGTGGCCGAATTTAGATTGTAGGTATCGAAATGCAAGTGCATTAGATACGACGTCGTTCTTGTTATTGCCCATCATTTATTAATATAAAATAGACATGTCCATGTGCGTTTTTGTTTTGTTTTTTTTTTGCCTGGCTGTCTGTGTGCATAAATTGATGTATACAGTTGTATAGATGGTTGGATGGATGGATAGATACTCACATACTTATAAATTCGTGCATACTATTCCATTGCCTACGCACGCTTAAACGTACGTACATTAACGTACTATCAGCCGACAACGTTACACATACAAGAAAGGCTGAAATGAAATGATTTTCACCGAAGAAATAAAATACGAGTAAATCAGTAACCGACACTGACCTGTCCCCTCATAATCATCTACGTGTCTCTCTTCAAAGCGTGTGGATACGGCATCACTGTAAATAATTATTGCCGATCTGTTCCAATAACAATAATCCCCACAGGTATATTAACTGACCTTGGTGTATTGTATATTCACTTATATGCATCGTCATAATGATGCCTGGACAGCTTTATAATATACTTATCACGTAGAGGTTGCTACTTAGAAGTATCAGCATATCCAGTATGTATGTATGTATGTATGTATGTATGTATGTATGTATGTATGTATGTATGTATGTATGTATGTATGTATGTATGTATGTATGTATGTATGTATGTATGTATGTATGTATGTATGTATGTATGTATGTATGTATGTATGTATGTAAGTATGTATGTGATTGCAAATATAAAATATATAACAGACAGAATGGAAAGTGCTATCCCATGATTCTGCTGGAGAATACTTGATAATGCTAAGATAATTTTATAAATACGGAGCATTATCATACAAGTCAGAGAGTTTCAATTCGTACTGTATGGAGATTCAATCCAGGGTGTCATTTACCCGCGGTTCTAAATTCGAATCTCCGTACAATATTATTTATAATTCTTTGAAAGATAAAAGCAAATTACAGGGGCTGTTCGGGGAGGTGGTAGGTTCAGTTAACCTCCTCCCCTTTAATCCCGCAATTGTTCACTTTTCAGTGCAAGAGAAAGTTGACATTTTTAAGCAAAACGTATCGTCATCTTCTGAAAGTCGACGCCTTCCTGACAAGAATCTGAATTTGCCATTGTATTATTTATTTATCTGTTTGCTGCTATACGTCGAAATTACGCCGATATCACTAATTCAAAGCGCTTTCTTTTTTTAACGAAAGAAAAGGTCTGCATATTTTTTCACAACACTAATATATTTTGCACAATAAAAATATAGATGCACGTTTATCTGCATATTTAATATAGAAGACGAATATTTGAGAGTTACATCGTTGTTAGTTTTCTGAAGTTGCACTGTGTTTCAAGCAACTCAACATGTTTATTTACTCAACATGTTTATTTAGCATCAATGAAAGTTTTTCTTAGTTGTCACTTCGATTCACACTTACAATTTTAATGTCAGTCACCTACAACGTATGTACCTAGGTAATGAACAAATTATTTCATTATGCATTTTATCCTGAAAAATAAACATTTCAATTTGTATTATACTTCAAAACCAAAAGTAGGATTTGACTGTTCCACATTCGTGTTGAAACTGATTGGGTTAGTAAGGTCATACGTGTTGTCGGATGTGGAAATTATCGCTGATGGGTAGGCTGATGGGTAGGGGGTGCCTTACCTTCTGAAAACGTTATAAGAACATCGTCCTTCAAAATGTAACATATGAATAAACGCATTGGGTGTTTGAAAGGAATTCATCGATCACTGTTGTCTGCCGCCAGATGGCGTGTATACATGGACTGGCTCGCAATTTCCGAAGTCTTTGGTTGTGAGCAAAGATTTTAAAAGAGAGAGCCAAAAGGTCGATAGTAGAGGAGTAATGCGATAAGTTATATTCTGTGATTAGAGACAGCAGTACTGTTATAATTTTCCTCAGCAAAATTAGTATTTGTTTTGCTACGAGTGTTAAATCTATGTAAAGATATTTTTTGTCCAATCGAATTTCCTATATATGTCCAACTAATTGTTCCATTGACCCATTCTTTTCATTAAGTTTGGTCTGCTTTAAAGAGCAGGTGGACCAGTGGACGATCAAAACGGTTCACTACTGGTTTTCTTTTTAGCTAAAGAATTCACTGTTCATACACGAACATCTACAATAAAACTAACTGCGTGGTCCTGACATACGGTACTGTTGAGTGTTCATGTCTGCTTTCAGTTTGTTTTTGAAAAGGAAATATGATCAACTTACATAGCATGTTACACAATAAGAAGATTTCTTCCACAAAATATATTAAAACCGGTTATGTACTAGTTACTAGAAAATGTTCTTCGCAAAGCTTATTGACATAATTTGATTGTTCCTGAGCTCGTGAATGACATTTCAAAAATACTTTTTTCAGTGCTTTGGTGAAAGGAAACAGATTTGTCAAAGTAAATGTTAAAATAATTACTTATATCAAAATAAGTGATTAAGGTTGCAATTAAATTCTCTTCGGATAGGTTTGAATGCGTGTTGAAACTGATTTAATAATTAAAATATATATATGTAGTGATGGATGGTTACGACTGCTAATAACCTACTGATTCTACGCGAGGAAAGTTTACCCCCCCCCCATTTTTTAATATAAAAAAAACAACGTTCTTTCTGAAGACCATTCCGGTGTCCTAAGTGGTTATAACTTTCACCTCAGATGCGGAAGGTCGTGGGTTTAAGCCCCGTCCGAGTCATACCAAAGACTTATAAAAACAACAGCAGCTGCATCGCTTGACGATCTGCATTACGAAGTTAGTGTTAAGACTAGTCGGCTTGGTGTCATGATAATGTGACTGGGTTGAACGTGAATCAACATGTCTGCGGAACGCAAAAGAAGAAGAAGAAAAAAAAAAAGAAAATACAAAACGGAAAAATGGAATGCAACGCAAAGAAAGGCGCAATGCAAATTATTTTTGTGTATTTAATTTTGTAATTATTAAAATTCAAAAGAAGTTTTTAGTCATCACATGTATACATATCTGTTTCTATTGTGAAATATTAAAAATAGAATGTATGCATACATACATACATACATACATGCATGCATGCATGCATGCATGCATGCATGCATGCATGCATGCATACATACATACATACATACATACATACATACATACATACATACATACATACATACATACATACATACAATAGATCAAAGTCACACTGATGCATATACAGGGTTTAAATGCAAGTCAGCACAATACTGGCAATATAGTGTTATGTATATCTTTATTTTTGTAAACTCCTGGAACATGTTTTATCTAATAGTTATAATTTGTATTCATGCTGTAATTGTGCTGGATAGTTTTGGTTAGTTTTGCCTTGGTGACCTGAATCTGTTAAGAGCACTATGCTGGGATCTATAAATAGATGCTTACGATGACGATAATTAACAATACTCTTAATAACAAGTATTATATTGTGCATTTGGCTTAATTTCTCATTGTCTAATTGGGTTTCGGTGTTTCTAGAAAGATTCAGTAACATCCCACTAGTTGGGTAGATAATATGAATAGGCAAATGGGTTTCGACGTTTCTATAAAGATTCAGTGGGTGGGTGTATGATTTGGATTTTTAACGTACTTTAAAACATTTTCAGTCATATCGCTTTGCTATGATGTCTGCAGCGTGGCAGTTTGCAGTGATGTCTAGCACTGGGGCATCATGCTGCAGACATCTAGCATCGAATCCCACCCAGTCACATTATCCTGACATCAGGCCGACCAGTCCTAACACTAACTTCTTAATGTTGAGCTTCTAAACTCCCGGATCCGATGCCGACGCTCTAACCACTAAAGCAGACTTGATCAATTTCTTTCCAATTTTTGGGGTCATTCACATTTCTTGTATTCCTGTTTTAAGTCTGCAGATGTGCCTTATGTTTTTGTACTTAGATATTATTTGGGAGGAAAACATTTTTTTTTTTGGACTGTTCAGTGTAAATAGAAAGTGCTCATTATTTGGATTATAATATTATTCCGGAACTGTTAAATTATTTAAAGAGATTCTGAACAACGCCATCTTGATAATGTCACTATTCTTGGATGACCAGTACATTTCCGGTTTTAAAATTTATCAGGAACTTTGAATTCATTGAGGACTTTCATAGACCTTTACAATGATTAGCTTGGATTCTCTTCATAATACTATAAGTTCCTCTCACATTTTCTATTTATAACATTGATAGTTAAATTGTTAAGTTTTACAAAACTTGTTGGTTTTACTTTCTTGTTACTTTGTTTATGACCAGAGTCGTAAAGATTGTGCCGTTTAATATATTCATGCTCTAAAAGTGTTAGGATACAAAACTAAAAATGGAAAAACATATGCAGATAACCCTTGCAAATACACAGAGAGAGAGAGAGAGAGAGAGAGAGAGAGAGAGAGAGAGAGAGAGAGAGAGAGAGAGAGAGAGAGAGAGAGAGAGAGAGAGAGAGAGAGAGAGTTTGTGAAATTATGACAGCATATCACCGCTCAAAAAAATGATTTTTAAGCAATAAAGCAGGAGTTCATTAGGATAATATAATGAAACGAAGTGGAGATGATTTAATTCTGTCCTTAATGTAGACATCTCTTTCTGAGGTATAATGGGTAATAATATTTTGTTTCATAAATAAAATCTGTTATCTTTTTTTTGTATATTTCATGACGTATTTATCAGATAAGGTCGTACAACGGGACACGAATGAGCTCATAAAATCGATAGTGGTTCAAGACACGTTGATTTATAGATGTCAGCAAAGATAAACTTTCGTGTCATATATATTAAAACAGAGCAGCTCAGATGGCCAATATTGCCAATAATCGGGTAAAACAAACAAAAGAAAAAATATACCTTAGAGTGGAAACTATATATGTAAAATTCCAACGATGTCCGCGCAGTATGAAGACCACATTATCCGTGATATCAATATTGCAAACATAGTAGCGTAGCGAAAGGATATGTGGGTAATTAATGGTCAATATTTAATTTTTCTTTAAATAAACAAAACAAAACACGCAATTATACTAAGTAATATTTTATAATGCTTTATTAAAGTCGCATTTTTAATACCATATATAAAGTGGTAATTTGTTCATCACATCGGATTCAAGATCGGTCTCATCAACATGCATGGATATCACGCACAATACAACTCGTGTTACGTCGATGATATAAAGCCTACTTATAAAGTTTTATATTTAAAAAAATAAACAAAACATTTTCACAGCAAGAGTTGTTGAACTGTTTTCGATACTCGGTCAGTCAGATTCAATATCGACTCATCAATACCGTGGGATATTACCCATAATTCTATTCATCGGAGATTTTAATGATTTCAATCCATGTATTTATCTACATGAATCAAATTGGATCAGAAATCAGAAATAGTCTTCTCACGCTAACAGGTCAATTTAATCAAATGTAAATCATCTCTTCATTATGCCCGAATCCTGCTCATTGTCGAAATCGTCAGTAGTATTAATCCCATGCTCCAAATACGGCTACCAGAGTGGGAACAAGTTCGTCAAGATCGCCTTTAATATGTTTGGGTCTTGATCAATCAAGGGACAAAGCTCTTAAGCCCAGCTAGACAGGACATTTAATAATCTTTGTTGAGCAAATCAACTGTCATGTCAGTATATTCATTTTTACCTAGAAAATGACGATAAATAAATTCGAACTACACAACCACTTAGCTAATATTATCAAGTTGGGACAGTAAATAAAAACTGAAGTTGCACCACCAACCCACCCCAGTCATTACCGAACACCTGGGAGATCGTGATGATACAAGACTGATTAAATTAAATCACACAAAAATGACTACATCAAAATCACATTAAAAAACGTGGGTTCTAGAGCATTAAAAAAAAAAAGACAAGCCAGCCAGTTGCAAGACCACCTTCTTAACTGTCATGAATTTCGCGTATTATCCAACTCGCTAGAAACCTTGATCATATTAGCCCACATTCCAAGTTTGATAAAAATGGAATTAGACTTATGGTCTTGGTAATAGTAATAAGCAAGTATTGTTGTTGTAGGGTTTAACGCCGTTTTGCAGTACAAGATAGGTATACGTGACGGCCGGTATAAATGCTGGAGGAAAAACTCGAGAAAACCCGATAAAGAACCAACGACCATGAGAAGATACTGGCCAGCATTCTTACATTCTTACCTACCCAAATTGGCCGAATTTGAGACTGGAACCCACGCAGATATATGTGATATGGCAGTGACCGTAACGGTAAACGCTTTGGACCATTCACCCCCCCCCAGCAATTGTTGGCGGTCGCACGACCTACAACGGATACATGGCCGCAATGAAAGCTCGATAGGCCCTATTAAGGATGACATTTAATGTTAAAAATCAAAATCATAATTTTAAACATAAGACACTCACCACTTTTTAATCAAACACACGCTTATTTAGCTAGAAAATAAATGTAAAAAAATTAACATTAAGGGTAATATAAAACTACTTTGGATATTTGCTCCAAGTGTTGGTACGATATTAGGAATGCGTTACTTTATTTTTGTGGTAAACCGCCGTTCGTTCTTTTTCCGTCATTATGCTGTTTATTAGCAGAGGATGAACTATATTTTCCGTTTGTCAATACAAGGTGAAAAAAAGTTCTAGGCGGGCAATGAATCTACGAGCCTAAACGTGTCTACAGCTCTACGAACGGATATATATATATATATATATATATATATATATATATATATATATATATATATATATATATATATATATATATATACACACACACACACACACACACACACACACACACACACACACACACATCATTGTGTTCCATCTAAGATGTCTGTTGGACTGCGTGCCTGGTATATAGTTTCCATATTCTGGAACGGTGTCTTGGTCTTTGTTACACAACTTGGTAAAATATGCTCGTTCAATGTACATTACACGCTTTTTGGCGGTTTTTTTTTTTTGTTCTTTCATGGCTGCATTAGGGACATGTGATGCCACTGAACACTACAGTTTCCCGCCTATATTCATGATGATGTTTACGGTAGTTACGAAGTTCAGTCGTATTCTATGGGCGCAAATCAAGCGGCTGAGTTTTTGTTTTGTATGATCAGAATTATTTTCTATGTAGTCCCGACATTTATTCGTCATTACCAAACTTTTCAGAGTCCAAATCTTAAAAAGTCATAGTTAATCTAAAGTATACTGATTTTTAAATTTTTGTGGCGTTTTTAAAATTGGGAGTTTGGTTTTTAAAAATCGGAAAATCGAAATTTTTCGGATTTAAAAAATCAAATTCGGGATGATCTCGAATAAATAGTGACAAGTAGCAGGTCTGAAGATGGGCTATATATTGCGGACAGTAGAACTGTGGAGGAAGAACACAGGAAAACCCTGAACCACCGACCCATAGGAGGCTATTGGCAGCTTTCTCACACACATAAGCTGAGCTTGAGACTCAATCCCAAACAGCATTTATACTATCATTGGTCTTCAGTAGCCATTGTAAACATTATCCTGCAGCATATAAATTCAGACCAAAATGATCTTGGTTCCTTGTCCAACAAAATATTTTATAAATTTTATTATCTTTTCAGAATTTTTAATCGTTTAAAAACTGAATTGAGTGGCACTGTAAGGCTAGCACCTGCTTTCTCACCCACGAACCTTACAATTTGACAGTTCATAAAAGACCTTACAGACTAAAAAAAAAC